GAACCAGGCCCTTGCATTAGCTAGGCAAGCACTTATTCTACTGAGCCATCTTCCTGGCCCAAGATAGATTTTTTTTAAAAAAGGGTGCAGAGAAACCAGACGTGGTTGATGCCCTTCTGGCTCACCTGCGATCCCAGCACCCAGGAGGATCCTGGTGAGTTTGAGACCAGCCTGGGGCTACAAAGTGAGCACAAGGCCAGCCTGAACTTTGTAGTGAGACCCTGTCTCTCAATAAATAAATAAAAATAAAAAGGGTGCACAGATAAAAGGAGAAAGAAGATATAACAGTGGAACACAAAAATGAAAGAAGGGACCTAAAATAATGCAAAGAAAGAAAATAAATAGAGGGTAGAAAACACGAGCATGAAAAAGAAAAGGAAGAGTTTTAAACCTATAATACCTCCACATGTTTATGCTGTAATATTTTTACTTAGAAAAGGAAAGATGAAAAAGACATACTCACCTAGACAGGCCAAAATCAGATACTTTTACAACTCCTTGATCATTTACCAAACAGTTTCGCGCCGCCTGTAGTACAACAGATACTAGTGAGACCCCACCCCAGCACAAAGGTTAAATGCACAAATCTTCTGCCTACTGGTGGAATGAAGCCAGGGATACCTTCCGCTAGAGGGACCTCCTCACCTAATAGGACTCAGCTAGTATCACTGTAAAAGTCTGATTCATTTCGATCACATGGAAAGCAACCTGTATGTTGTTCTAAATAAAGCACTGAAGAAACAAAAAGATTTCATTCACGTGGTCAATTCCACAACACTGCTTCCTTCACCTACATGGTGGGAGGACTGAGGGGAAAAAAGGAGTTAAATTTGCTTTACGCCTTTTGGTCTGTGAAAGTAGGAGAATTTAAGCATTGACATGGCTAAAAGAAACAGCCACCAAGGGCCAGGGGAGATAGCTCAGTAGAATAAGCATTTTCCTGGCAAACGCAGGGTGCTGAGTTCAGTCCCCGGGGCCTGAGTTCAATCCCCTGTACCAAAATAAAAATTAAAAAAATTCTGCTTAGGGGCTGGAGAGATGGCTCAGTGGTCTAGGGCACCTACTTAGAACAAGCTTAGCAAAAGCATCAGGGACCGCGGTTCGGTCCCCCAGCACCACATGCCAGCCAGCCCGCCCCCTGGTGGGCTGAG